ATATTCCATAATGCTGGATCAGCGAGAAGTAGAATTACTTGTACGAAAGCTCTGTAGAGCCTCATTCCGATAATTTCTGCACGCGTTAAGACTCCTATACAAATAGGATTATATCCGGGAAAAAAGATTTTAATCTTGAGAGTTTATCAGACCACAATGTTACCGCTCAAATCGTTTCTATAACATGCTTAAGAGAGACATGGAGAAGACCAACAAGGATGAGAAGCCAGTGCTAGGAAAAGAGCCAACGAAAGAAGGTGCGGGAGCAGCTGAAGACTTAGCCAAAGATGTAAAATGCCGTGTAGTGATCCGATGGCACTACTCAAAAGCCAAGTAAGTCAGCTAAGCGGGTAGAGCTTTACTGTGTAAAGAAATCAGAGCCAAATTTCAGCGAGCCTCGTCGTGTCTACGTCTGCGGCTCATGGGACGGTTGGGATAGTCACATAAGACTTTACAGGTCTGATGACGTGTTCTCCACTGTTCTTCATCTCTCTCCAGGTGTGTTGCGCGGTTTAAAGGAGTAATTTCCCAATCCATTGAAGTTCATTAAATCTGATTGAGGCTACTACGAATTCAAATTCTTCGTGGATAATGAATGGATGACTAACGAACACCTGCCCTTCACTGATGTTGGTTACTATAGCAAAAACATCATCACCGTCAAAGAAGAAGAGCCCGATGTTGCAGCGGAGGAGAAGAACGCCTCATAGCTTCATAACACATTAGTATAATTGAGTTTTTCAAGAAGTAGAAACTAGTTTCATTGCGAAGATTTTTATTATATTGGTAGTTGTGCCAACCTGCCTATTATAGAAACCGGATGAAAGATTGTGCTAAGCTGCAGTAAAAGCTTCCTAGCAAAATGGCATATTTGCAACAACATACAAGTGTTTCACGATTCCGTAATCCACATCCAAGTGCAAAAGAACAACTTTGCTTGTTTATTCTTGACAGATCCGCTTTCTCAAAAAATTATAATATCTAATTCTAATTGATTTTTTTATTAAGTTGAGAGGACGGAATCCATCAAGGTTAGGAATCAAGGATAACGGGGTTAAGCGCATGTTATAATTTGATCTCGCATCGTATTTCCGCAACGTCGAGAATGTTTGAAATAGGGAGTTAACACGTAGTGGGAATCCTCATATAGCAACGTCATGAGGACTACACACGCTCGCTATACAACGTGTACATTAATTTTTGAAACCCTATCTTGCCACTACCCCACCATACCGAAGCGATCTAAGGCAAAACAACTAAAAGGAAGGCTGCACAATTATTAACAAATTAAACAGACGTTTTCTATCTTTTTCACGACAGCAAACTTTTGTATCGCTTGCTAATTTTTAGCCTTTTTAGTAGCTAATGGGTAAACTTAGCTTTAGATTTTCCTGTCAAATCGAGTTGTGACATTGACTTAACTTACTTTAACGTCAAAGAATGGCGTACAAGAAGTAGGACGTCTAAGGCAA